AGAAAACAAAGCACCTTGAAACGCCTTTGTCAAGAGAACAGACACATTACCCAGAATTACAAATATCAAATTCAGTACACTATGTTTGTTTAAGCCTCAAAAATCATATAGAACTGAAACTTTCATCTGAACTTGGAGAGAGTACTATTTTTGGATAGAAATCAGTCTGCCTGTCTCATGCTCTGAAAACAAGACAAAAAACTTCACATGTAATCTTTAATAAAAAAATCCAACCAACTCCAGCAGTTACCCGTACCAGAAATGTCACAGCTGATGACTGCTGTTGCAAAGAGTCTGTAGCACAGGATTATTCCTTTGTGCATTTTAATACACAGATTCATTATTTCACCTTTACTCCAGACTAAATCATATAATCTACTTTAGAGAGCTGTATCTGTCCCACCCACAATTACTCCTCCATATCAGATGCTCTTTATTTCTGTCTTCCTTGCAAGTGCAAGAAACTCAAATTATTTAGGCCAGGGAAGTTATCACTGAAACAAGGGCAAGCAGTCACTTTGTCAAAGGACACTCTAATCCTAGATTCTGAACATATGCACCCAAGTCTAGTCAATGTCACTGCATGTTCAGCAGCTCAGAGAAAACCTTTTTCTTTAAAAATCCTAGTTGTTACAACAGAGAGCCTGATCTTACAAGTTCCCGTTCAAGAAAATCCAATACCACTTTAATTTTAGCAATAGGTTTGCCTTGGGAAAGGCTGAAGGAATAAGGCTCACAGATTTAATCAAATTAATTCTGTATCATTTTGCTTGTCTTTTCAGCACTAAATGCTTCCACTTTGAATGTCTGCATCATCCTAAATTCTCCAGTAGACTCTCATTTGACTGTTTTTCTGTCATTTAAATTCTTCTTGGCTACACAAGATCCTGCTTTATTTATCACATTGCCTAACCCACTATATGCTTCCTGACCTTGTAGGCAGTTCCAACAGCCACACCCAGAACCGCTGGTGGGCACAAACTAAGCTGTAGTAAAAAGGTTCAGCAAGGACACCTCTGTTTATAGAGCAGATTGTAACTGAAATAAATCATCTTTGGCTTTCTCACATCTTTGATTAGGGCTAAATAATTAAAAAACATACACTGCTATGAATTATACCTGAAGACCAATCAAAAGCTGCTATTACTTTAAAAGACAGCACCATTAAGCGAACCATATAGACACACAGGCCAGACAGAAGCAATGGCTAAACAACATAGCTATCATCATGGAATTACTAAGAAATGTCAGGTGGCTGAAAACAGAATTGTCATAATTTTTCATTCTGTTGGCTACTGAGACTGATTTGTTGTTTGCTTTTTAAAAAATGATTTATGTGTTCATTTAATTACGCTACAACATGATAGATAGTTCTTCTTATGTCAAGGGGAGACGATCAGCTAGAATCCCAGAAATACAAACTATACTCTCATTTGATAATTTATATTGTGCGACTAAATATGAAAGAAGGAAAGGAATTAAGGCATTTTTGCAAAAGCCTATGGAATCAAATGCCTACATGTCTTCTTTACTGTAAAGTGCTAGTCCGAAAATTCCCAAACAAGAACGCAGCACATCCAACCCTGCAGAAGAATATACAGTGGCACAGTAGTAAATAGAAAAGTAATCAACCTCACCCATTTATTAATCCAGGATGGCAATTCAAAAGACATAATTCTGCCTTTAACCTCCAAAACACAACCAATTACACTGTAATTGCTAAGTCTGGACAACAAAAATTATGAATTCTCATTCAAATTAATCAAAGAACACAAGCCTTAAAAATTTCCATGGTAATTCCTGCCCTTTGATTTGCGTCTCAGTTACTGCACATCTTTTAGAAAGGTATGGATTACAGATATAAAGGCTACTAGCAGTGATTATTAAATATTCCACACCTCTTAACTTAGGGATCTCAGTAGTTAATGGTCAAAACCATTTATTTGCTTTCTGGTTTGAACTCTTCTGACTTCCATCCATTGGATCTTGTCATACTTGTGTGTACTAGAATAAAGATGTAGGTAAGTACTTCTATTTGTGATATTTCCAGGCCATAACCTTTTCCAGATAAGCTATAATGACTGAGCTCCTTAAGTTTTCCATCATAATGCTTGTTTTATTGATGAATAATTTGCCTCTACCCTGAACTCCCTTCAGTTTTCAGCATATCTTTAAAGACGTGTGTCACACAATGAACCTGCCAGATGATAGGTGGTAATCTCTTTTGAAGACTTGGCTCCAGTTTCTGAAGAAGAGCACTTTGATGAACAATCTCAGGCTCGACACAATGCCATTTTAAAAATTAAAGTGAACAATTAAAGACAGAGAATAAAAGTGCACTTAATAAATTTAAAATAGATAAATACCATTTGACCACAGAAGCAAGTCTTCATGTCAAAATTAAGAATTAAAATGCAAGTGTGACCTGCATGATCATGAAGTACTGCAGTGCTGGTAACAATGGCCTCCTCTGAAGTAAAGCAGGTTAAGGGCTTTGCTCCCTCTCCTGGAAGTATTATTCCCCATAAGCAAATTACTGTGTTTGACCAACATACACTTATGACTTTGGGGGTTTTGGATAAAGAAAGCCAGAACAGAATTCTTGTCCTCACTGCACCTTTCAAAGAGACATTTCTGTTGGCAACCTCCAGGCTATATGAAAACTCAAGATGTTCTACCCCATTCTGAAAACTGCTGGTTAAAAATGACTTATCATCCCAAACATGTTTGTCTCATGTGCTTCTACCCCTCATAGAAGGCTTGTCTATATTTAGAAATCAGAATCAACATGGGTAATTTTAAATGTAATTTAAAAAGCACAATTTTAATTTCCCATATGTCCTGTAAACTTCACTACTGAATAATTACCCTGTTATATTGTACTTTATGTCTCATATCCAAAAAATAAGGACAGAATAACATATTTCATTCAAAAGCAATGTTCATTACTTTTACTACATAGACCACTTTAGCATGAATGGATTCATACTCATACTGCATACAACTGACTCCAAAGAGATGGTAGTGACACAACATTTTGCCAGTGGGGCTATGAACACACTGTTAATCTAATAATGGAGCATATAAATTGTTATCAGTTAAGTGTGTGCACTGCACAATCTCAGATACAAATGTCACAAACTCAGAGCAGCTTCAGTCTCAATCCAAGTCTGAATTTTGCGCAGTAATCAAACCAAATCTTAATCTTTTCAGAGACACATCACTTTCTTTTCAAAGCAGGACACAATTCAAAGCATATACTATAATAAATAGATAGGGCATTTTTTTCAAATCCCTCACTGCAGATTCTCCAGCAAGTTCTACTGAGATTAAAATCTTGGTATCGAAACCAGATAAAATGCTACTGAAAAAAACATAAAATTACTGATCAGGTATACAATGCAAATTAGCTATGAAACAGAGAACATGTCTAGTCTCCCTCATTTGTTTTTGGTTTGGGTTTGGGCTTTCTTTAATAATTTCAGCCCTTGCCTAGTTTATTTTCCTAACAGCGTCGTATAACATTTTAGAAAGATTCAATCACAAAACAGAAGACAGAACCACCTATCTTATGTTCTGCTGTTGAAAGCAGGACGTGATTTTACACCTAGTACACCTTCAGTACCTCCACATGCAAAAGCTTCTGCCAACACAGTTAAATATAGAGCACAAACAGCACGGGGAGATACATGCATGCCTGATATTAAACAATGATGTTGAGATTCTTCAAATGGCTTAAAAGTGCAAAGTATTGAGATGAGAAGGGTAGTGAGATCTGAAAACAGAAGAAAAGATGCCCTGCTCAAGGTGAAGTATGTTACTGAAGCATATTCAGAGTCTGCTAGAGTACCAGACACGTATCACTTGAAATAAGAAGGAATTTCACAGTGAGGAGTGCGAATTCAGACTAAAGAAAGCTACTCCCAATAAAAGTGTCATAATAGGCTTAGAAGTAATTATAGAATTTACACTTCCCTGGCTCAGAAACACTCTCCAAGCTCTGGCAGATGTGACACTTATTATGTTTGACATAATTATGAGATCAGATAACATAAACCCACATTAGTTGCCAGTTAAAACATTCTTTTGGTTACCGGCAGCCCCGTGTCAAAGGGCACAAAGAACTATGCTATAGTGCTACCAGAATAACAGCTCCCAACATGCTAAAATTCAGCCAATTCAATTGCTCCCCGACCTCCAAGAATCAAAAATTCATGTGCTCAGACACCATCTGTCCCTGAGCCCTTTCCTAATTTTTAACTACCAATTACCTGGTATAAACAACGCAAAGTGATCCGCCCTCAAGCAAATGAAGTGTTTGACAACACTGACACCAAGCGACAGAATTCAGAAAAATACAAACCACCTCCCATGTAGAAACATAGAGCATTTCATCAGTATGTTTTGAAAGAGGCAAAGTCACAAAAAAGTTCACAAAAAAGTGAAGAACTACTATGAGAGTCGACTTTCTCCACAGAAATAATGCATAAATGACAGAAAGTATGTCCAGCATAAACAATGTAATTTAACCTTCATCTTGCAAGCACAAGTCAAAGACCACATTTCCAGGCTTTATGCAATCTAGCCTTATAAATTAATTTCTAAAGAAGAAAGAAAATAGTGATTTGCATGCTTAGTCAATATCTGAGTCCATTAACTTCAGTATATTTAATTCATTTTGCAAGTTAAAAAAAAAAAACACAAACAGTGCCCTTTAATTTAAAAATAAATTAATAAAATTGTTATGTGTTAATGCAAAGTTTAATAGCCTGCGAAGTCTCACATACTTACTTTATCTCTCTGTTGGAAAATCAAAACCCATGCAGTTCAATATGCATTCGATAGAACTGTCACCCCTCCTATTGGCTTATGTGTCACCATTACAAAAAGCACAGAACCCTCCTGACAGAGCGATAACTCTGTCGAACGCATCAGTATTGCTGCCCACCATGTTTATGCCCCGTATTCTACGCCTTCCTATCAGGCTTCCATGTTCTCACCTGCTGACGTTTGTATGCCAAATAATCAAGATTTTCCAGATCTTTTCGAAACTTCTGGTAGGTTTTCTGCAGATCAAATTTACTGGATACAGTTCTTAAAGATTCAAATGTTCGTTGAAACTGTGATGGTTAAAAAAAAAAAAAAAAGCATCACTCACACAATTTCTGTAATTTTTGCTTTTTTTGTGTTATTAGGATTCTGTTCTGTTAAATACCAATGTTACAGAGCTGTGTCAGCTCTTGAGCATATCACCTTCTAGACATTCCTACAAGTTTATTTTTATATGAATCCCGGAATTCAAAGCATAGTACATAGGCCCTGTTTAATTACATTAAATCCTCTTCAGAGGTCACACTTGAATAAGACAAGACACCAGCAATCAACATATCTCTAAAGGCTACTACTTCTATATCATGTTAGAGGACGCAGTGTATTCATATACATTTGATTATTTTTTTTCCCCAGTAATAAAAGCATAAGCAACTTTGTACAGACCACAAACCCCTCATTCCATCAAGCATAACAGTAGATCTTATATATAATAGGTTAATTTACTTAAGCATAATTTGCAAGACCAAATACTCACCTCAGCTAATATGTGGCATTCTGTATGAAAGCTATGACCATGTTAAGTATACTTAGTTACAAACCTTACTTTAAAATTTAAAACTTCTTTCACACATACACTATTATGGAAAACCACACTGGTATTTTTTCAAAGAGATGAACAATACAAACGCAAGAACTGTAACAGAGAGGCTCAGATTTGTGCAAAAGGAGAACAGGAGCTACAGCTTCATAACTGCCATCAGGAAATTATGAATCTTCTCTGACTCTTCACTGGAGTGAACTCAAGCCCAAGCTGCACACGCTGCTCAACAGCCACCGGGCAATTCTTTGGGGACAGTAAGCAGCTGCGGTGGGTTTCAACTGGGGATTTACAACAGCCAGATGTATCTTGGAATCCTCAGGCAAGTTAGCACTTCTTCGCCACATTGCAACCTTTATTTCAGTCTCACTGCTCTCATAACCAAGAAGCAACTTTGGGCACTGTTTATATTTATTTGTAGTTATCTTACCATACATCATTCAGCACCACTAGAGGTTAGCGGGAGACTTTCTAGTTGCATTTGAAATGTTTGCTACTGAAAAATAAAGCTTTCTCACCCAACATATACTTTACTGAATTCTGTAACAAGGGTGACAACATAAACACTAAGACAAAACCTCAAGACTCTCTCCTTTTCCATTTTAATTAATTATCTTTGACCTTTTGCAGGATCTGTTGTTTTCAGATTTTATCTCTGCTACAGAGTTACTCTGAAAACCTTGAATTTTCAATGCTTCCTTCCACCAGTTCCCATTCCAGGTTATCCGCTTTAGGTGAAAGCAATCTAATTACAACATCTTCAAGCAAGAGTCCTGTTTAAGTTGACCAAAAGCTATCCACAGTGCTCCTTCTTTATAAATGTGTAAGAAACTGCTCATAATATATCTGTACAAATAATTGTTGACCTGATAAGCCACTGTACATTACACTGACTTCATTGCTATACTACTAATAAATAATGTATCAAGATTTTTTCAAGATTTTTTCATTTTCCAAGGTTATTTTACCAACCTAGAATTTGACTTCATAGATTAGTGCTCATAGAAAGAAATTTCAGAGCATCGCTTCCACATTATATTCTTATAAGCACTGCACTTCAGTGTTAAGCAAGTGTTGCTGCAGAAGTGAAACACAGTAATAACTGCTCAGAAGGAAGCAATTTAGCACTCTCTTTTTCCTGATAGCTTCCAAGAGAGCCTACTGCAACAGAGTCCTAGTCACTGGTTGAAGCACGCAGGCATTTACACAGTCCAGATAATTTAAAACAGGTGTTTGCTTTTCTAATATCCCACCTTCCAACTTCTCCAAAATAATTTTCAAACTTCATCACCAGACTTAAGAGATTGCTCTATACTCAGCCATACTTTAGCCAATTTCGCGCATTCTGCAGTTAACCTATGCTACAACCCCCTTTGTATCCTAGATCTCCCTAAGCGTTATAAACTTACTTCATTTGGAAATCGTCTCACAAATCTACAATTACATACTATTTTTTCATAAAAATAAGTATCTTTCATACTACGTATGTTAAACCAAACCAGAAAAATTCCATCTTACTTGAAGAAAGCCTCATCCATTCACATTAAGCCCTGCTTCTTTCACTCCCTCTTCTCCTTACACTTGGTTTTCTATAAAGTTTAGGACCAGGTGAGTCCAGATAAATTTGCTTTCATCACTATTTGCTCTTGCTTTATGGCACTGACAGGTCGCTGCTTATATTCTCTCTCAGCATCTCAGGGATGCAAACAGATAACACTGTTGCCTAAGGCAGCATTTCGCAGTTTTGGAAATCTTTTCATTAAGTCTTATTCGGAATTCACAACAAAAAAAAGTTTGTATCTTCTCTTCCCAAGTCTGTTTACCCACTCCTACATGTACAGTTTTTGAGAGATGTCAGAACTCACTCCCTCCCAGGCAGGAGTTGTAAGATGGCAAGCTATCCTCCTCTGTTGCTTTCTTTTTCCCTTCTTCTCCCTGAAGTGCAGTAGATGGGCATGATTTTCCTTTGCTATTGTGATCCATGACTCTATCAAGAAAGCAGTGGCTGAGCAGTTGAGAAGAAGGCTGTGTATTTATCTGTCCTGCCACCACTAAAGGTGAGGGTCTGCTCCTACTCTACTGGCAGGGTGCCTGCAGCAAAAGTAAAACTAAGAAATTCCTGAGAAGTAGAAGTTCCTGGAGGGAGTTGACACAGGTCTAAGTCTTAGATGCTGGTCAATGAGAAAATGAGTATGAACCAAAGGAGAAGTCAGATCTTCTCCCGAGACTCCTGTCTTCTTAACACTCCCTATCCTCAGATCCATAACCACCAAAGGGTGGAAAGATTCGGACCATTTTCAGTTTCACAGCCTGGCCCTACACCCTCAGGGTAGCCTACACTCTTTTTTGCCCTTTTGCCACTAATGTTTTACTATAATACCAACACAGAAGAACATAATGCAGGGAGAGAACATAATGCAGGGAGCAAGTCAAACTCTGATTTAAGTAGCATTACGCGTGTCAAACCAAATAACTAAATCTGAAGCATAGGTAAGCCTGGGATAAATTACTTCTCTTCTTTCATATAACCATACCAGTCATCTCTTGCTCAAAACATTTTTAATGCTGATGAATACTCTGCAGGGAAGGGAAGAATGGACAGCACTACGTCCACAGGGCCCAAGTTCACAAGCTGATTCTTATCTGTAGCCTTTTTTTTTTGTCCTGGTGAGAGTTTTAAATAACTCTAAGAAAGCATTTTATAAAGATCACGCTGAGGCATTCATGAAAAATATACAGACTTACACAGAACATTTACAAGCCTGACAAGGGGAAAAAAAAGCAGATAAACCATGTTGGTTCAGCATGATGTGAAATAGATTAGAGAAAGACAGACTGCCAGTGCGCTTTGAATGAAGCTCTTGGAACTTGTTACTTTCTTGCTGTTCTCCTCTGATCAATACATTCAAGCAATTCCATTAGTCACTTAACTCACTTAAACAATACTGACCGTGACAAATCATAATGAATAAGTCTGGTAGCACAGCTTTGAATCAGAGCACCATAAACAAGATAGCCCTTTGCCTGACTACATTTTTCACAACTCAGTTTCATGATTAGAGATCTCAAACTCTAGAACGAGTATGGAAACTCAGATACAGACAGCTATTTAAACTCTTCCCTGTTTAAGAGATACATTCAGCTGCTTAAAGAAGTAAAATCTTTCTTATCAGCATGATGCACTCTATTTTCTCAGTCAACTCTAAAATGTGCTAGCTGTTTGCACCACACCACCATACTCTAGTAAGGCTGTAAATTCCACAAGTGTCTAGAAGTGTACCATGCCAGAATATGAACAATGATTGAGAATTTGTACTGCCTTCTTAGATGCATTATTTGATACCCACTTCACTGGGTGAAAATTCTACAGAATCCATACACCACTCAAAATTCTCACCATTTTATAGTGAAACTTCCAAAAAGCCAGCCTCATGCTCACAAAGGTATGTTTTTGGACTCTTGAAGTGAAATTCTTGCAAGTTTATTAAATTCTTCCAGATAAACTGGGCCCATTATTTCTAGTTTAAAAGTTGCATTTCAATACTTTCGTGACAAAAATATTCATTATTTTCAGCACTATACTCTGGTTTATATAAATATTTCATTATATAGACATCAAAACCAGCCCAAAATCTAAGTAAATGTACAGAAAACAATATCCTTACAGACTACACAAACTGGAAGGAGGTAACTGAGGTTCATCTTTTTTTCGGGATACACTTAAAATGGCATATATGACAGGTAATACAAGACAAGGCTTTATATCACAGCTAGTCACATTGTCATTGTTTCCTTTCTATCTTTATTCACAGATTACAGAGGAAATTAAAGTTTAATGATCCAGACTGCATTGTGTCAGTAGAAGTAAGTATGGTTTCAAATGTTTTGAAGGTCATTGTTGGAATTAACCAGCTTTAGGAGCAAGACTGAAAAGACAAAACAAAAACACTACAACAAAACAACAACAAAAAACTTTTGACACTCTGATAAAGGAGTTTGAAAAATATTCTGTACATAAATAGATAATTCCCCGTGAAATACTTCCATATTGAATAAAATCATATTAATAGTCTGCAAGCATCTTTGATGATGCTGGACCACTCTCACTTTATACACGCAAACAAAAAAAACTTCTTTTGTTAGAATTTTCATTTCACTTATTCTACTCTTAATTTTTTTTTTTCCATTTTAAAAATTATTTTGGTCTCGGTCCTTTAAAATTCTTCATTTTATTGTATGACAAGTATGAAGCTCAAAGTTACGGAAACAAAGGGCAGTGAAAATTCTCATCTGAATGATTAACAACAGCTGTATCATCCATGTCTTTGTGAAGAGGATAAAAGAGGAGAAGTTCAAAGAAAAACTGCTAATGACTTAGAGAGTTGATTTTCAAGTCATATGAACTTGCAGACACCTGGAACATCAAAGCTGATAGAGCAAAGACAAGGTTTGTTTTCTACGCTGCACCTACTGTGTGAATACAATGTCTTTTTGTTGGAGCAAGTCCACATTGAAGAAAAACTGAATTTCTAAGGAGTTTTAAGTATAATAATTCAAGTTAAGGACTTATAAAACAGCAAAGTTGAGACTCATTATAACATTTAATTGCATTTAAATTTGGCTCAGTCATGACCAAAATTTGTTATAATTTGAAGGTTGTTCAGTAGCATATGTTGAAATTACTTTATCTTCTAAGTTGATTTCCCAATTAGATGTCAACATACTACATGACTACAGCTAATACCACTGCTGGCAAGCTCAACAGCTAGGGCAGAGATTAATAAATGTGGAAAACTTACTCCTCCTCCACGGACTAGGGTGAGGCTTTTTTTTTTTTACAGAAACATTATGGAGAGTGTTATATCGTTCTAATTTACTCTAAGAGTTAACTGAAGAATTCAGTTCCCACTCCTATTAAGTGAACTAAATTAAAATATCAAAGAAGAAGATAACTTAATTACACTCTTTGAAGTGTTGGGAGTTTTTTTTCCAAATGATTCTTTGCATTCTTTTACAATTTTCAGCTATAGTTCTTTATTTTCAAATTGAAATCAAGAAGTGAACTATATGGTTGTTCAGAAATACTGAAACTATAGGAAAGAAAACTACTCAACTCTAGTTATCTCATGCAAAATATACTGAAAGTATTTTAGAAGGGCACATCTAGGATTATGAAAATATATATGTAAATGTAATAGGCTACCAATGAAACAATCTAATTTAAGAAGTTTTTCCCCGAACAGTTCAAAAGACATAGGCTACTTCTCTTAGAGTTGAGAAATTTCATACAAATATAACAACACAGAAGCTTCTGCAAGCCAGTGTTCATTTGGCCTGTACTGCATCTTCAGCAATTGCCAACGTTGGATATTTCCATCACAGCACTGAAACCCACACAACACTGTTTTATTATGAAATACTGTTGCTACTCTGACTGGAGCTACATTTTCATTCCCCTGTCCTCACCAAATGGAATTTCCTTCCAAATAGTTCTCTAAGTCAGTGAGTTTTCTGGTGGCATGAGGCATTTTTAGAGGTGGCACTCCTTAGTCACCTCTGTACTGAAACAGTAGGAAGCCAACAGAACTTAAAATTTCTATCAGTCTGCCACTCCTTATTGAAGATGGTGGAGGGGGTGGTGGGGAAGAAGGAAACAAATATAGAACAATTCCTTGCTCCTCCCAGCAAGGATACACACCAGACTGAATGGAGTAAGCAGCCAGAGAAGAAACTCGGTGAACACATTTTTGGGGTCAGACACATGATGCTGGCAGGATTAAAAACACACTGTTCGAAAAAGGAAGGAAGCCTGCTCACATGGGGCACAATGGCTGGCATTAAAGAAACTCGAGTTTATGCAACAGGAAAGTATTTTGATGTTGAACAACAGAAGTGTGGACATTTTGTCTACGTCACCAATAGTGGCACAACAACTGGTTAGTTTTATACAGGAATAGAAGAACGAAGACATCTCTTCTGTATAAAGAGAGCCAAATAAAAGAAAAGATGACCTAAACCACAGGGCTATTATGATATGCACTTCTGAAACACACGATTCCACTGAGCGAAAAAGCAATGTGGCTTTTAGAGGATATTTTCTACTGCATATTTTTTAAAGCTTCATGAACATTAGGACTTTCTAGTCTTCTGTCTGAAGTATACAAATATATAGCTGGAGTCGAGGAACTGCCAGAGGCCTCTCTCACACATCTTCACCGATCTCTCTCACAAACTGACTTGAATACAGAGACAGACTATTTCCTACTCAGTTCTTCACAAATATCCACATAAAAATCTATCTTTAGGATTCTCTACAAATAAAACAGACCCTACTACTGCCACAAATATCAAGGTTTCAAGCACAAAAAGTTGTACAAGTACAAAAATCCAAGTAAAAAACTAGGAAATAAGAAACAAAGCGAAGTTACAATATAATAGTACAGATAACCATCCGCTTCCTCAAATCAAACATGTTGAATTACAAGTAGACTTTTCCTATATGTTCTACAAGTTTGATCTAGAATCTACACTTTCATCAATAGTTAAACACCTAAGATCTGCAATTCCTAAGTACAAAAAGAATTTTCAATGCAAAAGGAACCATCAGCAGGCACTTCTCTAGCTAAAGGGAGTCTGAGCTAAGCCAAGTTCTACTCACCACAGTTAAGTGTTCCAGCAAGTATGCCACATCAACCATGTCTGCCAGGATGAGAAGCCTTGTAACAGCTGTAAGCAGTGATCGTGCTGCTTGGACAACAGCCTGCCTCTTAGGCAGATAGCAGGGATCACTGGTAAATTCTTCTGCTGATATCTTTAAGGCTTGACCTGCAAAATGAAGACATAAATTCCATTAGGCTATATCACAACACTCAGGTTAAAAAAAAAAAAAATTAAAACTTGATCAGTTAATTGGTAAATCATTGCCAATAAATCTGGCATCTCTGTTGCCCTAAAGCCTTGAAATGAAGGTCAGTTATTACAGCCCATGCAGAATGTTCCACATTTTGAACGATGTTCTGTTTCTGTTCTTCCGAATCATCTAATTCTGAAATAATTCCTTTGACCATCATATCCTAACCCTTAATTGTACACAATGACACTTGGGTGCCATGTTTAACTTTTCTAGTGACTGGTTTTTATATCACTATGTACTTTGTTGTCCTTGCTATTAAATAATTCCTGGTCACAGAAAGAAATCAAATATTGTTCTTCATATTATAAAGATAAGTTAAGGGAATGAAAATCTCATACACCTGAATATCTGACTCCAATACAAAATACGTGAAATCTATGCAATGGAGCTAGCAACTGTGCCAGTCACCAACAATATACTGCTCTCCAACATGAAGGCTGGCAAATGAAATTTTACAGTAAGAGTAACAATGAGAAACACTCAAGTTTACTTTCAGCAGTTTACCATCTACACTTACTCTGAGAAAAAATAGCATTTCAAAGTCTACTGTCACCTGAGGAGCTTTGCTAGTGACCTTGAGAGAAGTCACTCTACACAGAAGAGCACTGGAAAACTCTTGTCAAACAAGCACAAACTGCTAAAATAAATGTTTGACCCATTAAACTCTCTATATCAGCTTGGAAACCAAAAGATGGATCAGAAGCCACAAAAATGAATAGTGGCTCTGCTAAAATTAGGAAACATCATTAGGAAATGTAGCTATTAAAAGACTACATGTTCACAAAGGCAGTCCTTTGCTGACAACTGCCTTAACCATGTCCTGAATTATGGATGCAACAGTAAAGAAAAATAAGACCTTTTGCTCCAGAGTTAAAGCTTTCGTTTATTATGCAAAATACTTTTTACCTATATCTACATTACTTATGTCTTGGTATAAGAATGGGGTATGTTTCTCCAAGCAGTCATCTGTATCATAGATGTTTTCTACATAAAAGAGAGAGTGTAGGAACATGTGATTTTTGTTTAATTTTGTTCTATAAATTTTGACCAAAAGTAAGGACAGAACATTGCCTGCTGAAATAAAACACACAGTACCCTTACAGCAAAGGCACAAAATTCTGGATAGGCCTCATACAGGAACGCTACTGGCATGTCCACTTTAGAGTATCTAGTAGTAAAGTCAAAGCTGAAGTGATGCCAAGAGGTTTTGCTACCTGAACCAAGTATGTGTTTTTATAAGCTTTGGAGTCCTCAGATCAACAACTGGGCAACGAGATTTGTATAAAATACAATCAATCAGTAATTAATGCATATTCATAGGAATACAAAGCAACATAAGGGATTTCCTGGGGTGCTCAGTGACAGGGCAAGAGGCAATACACACAAACTGACACACAGTTTAAACTGCTTAAACATCAGAAAACCTTTTTTCACTGTGAGAGTGACATAGCAGTTGCACAGTCTGACTAGGAAGGTTGTACAGTCTCCATCCTTAAGAGATATTCAAAAGCTGACTGGACACAGTCCTGGGCAGACTGCCTGAGCTTGAGATTGGACCAGATGACGTCCAGAGGTTCCTTCCAAACTCAACCATTCCATGATTGAGTGTGTGAGTAAAAACAAGCCAGAAGGGTCTGAATATGACCAACTGCTTAGAAATGAGTTGGACATAAGCTGGAATGGTCACATGAACAAGTATAAAATCATGACTTTAAATAGAGCTATGAGATGGAACCTAGGCAGATAGGAGCTATGAGTACAAGCAGCAGAAAACGATAGCTCCAACAACATGATATCAGAACTTCCTTAAAATGCAGCAGACAGCATGACAGTTCAATGCAGTTTCATCCATTTTATTGCAATTCCCATCAAATGGGTATTCTTCCATAATTACATTTGTCACAAACAGTGAAACATGAAAGGCAGTGCCCTTTTAGTGGCACAAGTAGGGAAGTAGAAAGATTGGTGGACTCTTAGTATTTCAGTTATCTTAGACATTCAAATGAGAAGCAATTCAAAGAACCAAAGTCAGGATAAATCATAACTACATAATTATTTGAAGGCAGATACTTCCAAGACACTATTCAGCACACACAGATAGATTAGTACCAAAGTAAATGGCGTTAGTACCATTAGGTGATGAGCTACTGACGTCTGCTGCTACTGTGCTTACAAAAAGCTATGCTCTGGCAGAGGGAATGGTAAAGCCAGAGTTCAGGTACAATTTATTTAAAAAAAAAAAAAAGTTAAAGGATCCATGCATGATATCCAGCATCAAAATATATCCAAAAACTTACATGGCAATTCCTTTAGAAACAAGTCACCTTTAAGTCTGTTGGCAAACAGCTGACAAAAAGCGGGCATTTCTGTCAGGCTGGTAGCCAACAGCAGGAAATCTGCCTGTACAGATACTTGCAGTAACACCACTAGCTGCAGTCAGTGAGCACCCCTCAGAGACAGTGTGCAACATTACACTCTGACAACACCTAAATGCTTTTTACTGTTTTAAGGCAAGACCATCAGAACTAGGCTTTCTTCTTTCATTTCTTTGAATAGATTTTCTTCTTCCTACTAAATCCTATCATAAGCACCACATTTCTTTCTTCTATTCGTTTGTACATCTGGCTTTCTCATCTCCCTTTTTATTTTTAACTGCAGCAGGGTGAAACTCACATGGAATGCAGTGAATTTTATGCCATTCTTGTGTCCTCCCACAAGGAGGTATTGTTGCCAAGAAAGTCCTGTCACCCACTACTATGAACTGCACCCTTAGAGGCTGGTGGATTTACAGTTCCAGAGAAATACAGCTTTCAAAGTGAGCCCATGCCTGAGGGAGGGAGGGAGGGATGTACCAGGGTCAGTAAAAACAGAGGATTTCAAACGTCTTGGTCTCAAATTTCTGAGAAAAAAAAAATCTATTGTTTATATCAATGGAAAACTTATTAGCTCTGATTTACACTAGTATTTGCAGTCTCAAGTTCCACAGACATGAACTAACACATGAGCAGAATCAGTACCAGTGAAGGTTGGGAGTCAGCATCACATCAGAGCACCAAAAAACCTACCCTTTCTTAAAAAACAGATTAAACAACACCAGTCACTAGTATAATCACTTGTTCTGCTCCCACAAATAACGTCTCCATCTGCTGCAGCAAATAAAGTATTCAGCCTCAGCCAGTCAGCTGGAAGTGACAGTATCACTGCCAGGGCAAAGCAGACTGATATCTCCTGTGTGTTCCTTATACTCAACAACATGATAACTCAGATTTTGACAATAGCTTTCCGTAGATATTACAGGACATTTTTCTCCTGCCACACAGTCTCTTATCCCACTCAGATATCACTGTATTCTATTGCATTGCAATTATTTCACCGCTGCATACCGGTAAGTTCCACTTCCACATCTCATGCAGTTCTTCCTAATGTGTAATGAGAGCCATCACACACCCCCTTCACACCTTACATCCATCTCTTCATTCCCCCTTTCCCACTCAGGGACACTTAATCCAGGGATGGTGGTGTCAGAAGCTGTTCTACAAGGGATCTGTTCCTGGTTTGACAAAAACAGTGTACAGCACAGATTATTTTAAGCTACTTGAATACCTAAATTCTACCCCCCAGAATGGAAGTCCCTTAGATGTAAAGCATACACATGCACTTCAGTGAAGGATGAGAAAGCTGAGCTTATTTCTGAGATTTTTTCAGAGGGGGATGACAAATAAGAATACAGTAAAATACCACAGATTGCTGTCCCCTTCCTTAGGTAAATATCCTTACAGTACACTCTCCATTTCTTGGCAGTGAATGGTAGTTTCTTCCATGCCATCAGTCTTGCCTCCCCTATTTAATGTCAAAAGACATTAAATATGAATATTCAAAATACCAAATTCTTCCAACTTCCTTTCAAAGAGTAACTGAAGGCTTAAAATGTAACTCCAGCAAGTAACTTGCTTTCAATTCACTGTTATGTGTGGTGAAAAGCTTATCTAGGAACATACTTGAGCATGATAACAGCTAAATGCATGAAACATCGACACTGCAATAGATGGAAACAACACAGACAACAACTGTTGTGTTTCTGACCATATATAGTCAATAAGCAAGGGCAATAAATACCAAACATTTTAGCTATGTCTGTACAACTGTTTGAAAACTATAAGCAATCAGCTTGACATAAACGAAAAAAAAATCATTATCCAAAGTATAATTCTAGACTTCAATGAAAATGAAAATTCCTAATCGAATATTGCCCCGCATAAGCTACATCTCTCTTTTGTTTTAAAATTGATTACATATCGGAATCAGGATATTATAGTCTCGTTTTTACTGTCAGAAGCATTCATGGTTGATTCTTATTCCTTTGTATAGGGCTTTATTATTTTACTGTTAATTCATAGCACATTATGAGTCAGTAGGCAATTTTTTACAATGCTCTATACATAAAATGTAGCAGTAAGAATTTCTCACAATACTTACATATGGGTTTATTACACTACTTTAGAATAAAAATGTGAACATGAGTACTCTTTAGCAAAGCTTCATGGAACCAGATCAAGAGGAAAACACAGCAGTTCTTCAGTTACTAGGCTAGTGGGTTTCTGGGTGCTGCACACAGTCCACCACCCACAGGCCTGCCTGGTGACTCCTTTAGAAGAGTTCCAGAAGATGAATCAAGATGTGGCTCGACACAAGCCTTTAAAAATTACCTTCTCAAGAGGAAACTCAAAGAAAAATGTGGAGGATCTCGGTATTAAAGTGATCAGCTCCAAGATTAAGAACCTTCAGTAAAACTCAGCAGATGTCAAAGGAAGCAGTGACTAGATCTATCCAGTGAACATGCTTGCCATCCACTGTACCAACATCTTCTTTCACACATCACTAACAGAACACAACTGAATTTGAGACCAAAATCTCATCTACTGACAGCATCTGCCAAGACTGCACTGCAATCAGAGAAGCCATGCCCATAGCCCCATTTCTGAAGACATGAGGCACCGATGCATCAGATGAATTAAATACAAGTCTTCTCTTAATATTGCCTCCACTGCTCGCTTTTATCCTACTAACTTGCCCCTTTATTGCCCAAAACATTATTAGAATAGGATTAGCAGCAGCAGCTAGAAAAAAAGTTATCACTCCTCTAAAATGAACCACTATTAATGAGCTCCAAAAGGACAAAGCAGCAGTCTCACACTGGCAATTGACATTCAAAAGAAATAAGTGCTTAATTCTCATGTTACAGTCTTCAACTCAGCAAGCTCATTGAGTGACACAAGCTAGCAACGTGAGAAGAGTTGTTAGTGTGCAACTCTGGAACTGATAGTTTGGTTCACTTTCGAGTGAAATCATCTAGAGAATCATTTCAAAATTCCAATATACGTTAAATACAAACTGTAGCCACATCCTAAAAAAATTAATAATTTAAAAGCATACTAGGAAAAATACCTGTCAGTCACCACAAAAAATATGCCCACAGAAAATTAAATACTATATGGTGCGACATGCATGGTAGGTGACTGCATGCGTGCACAGTTTACAACCTACATCCTGTCAAAGAATCTGAAGTAAATATCATTCAACATTTAACAGCAGCAGAATGTGACTTAAACATCAAAGTTACATATAATGTGACATACCACAAATTAAAAATAACACACAACTTCAAAGGACTAAAAATATCTGCAAAATGAACCAACTGCTATTTATTTTACAATTATTTGACAGCTTCTTTAAATTAACCTGTGCAGTTTGGCAAATCCTTGAAGATCAGCTGTGAACACTCAATTTGTCATTGCATAATGATAGGCGACAACATGGATTAACTTTCTTTCAAAATGTATGAGGTATATATAACTACAAAAATAAATAATACATAAAGTAGGTTATCTCTGGTCTTGGCTGAGAATCAATAAATAAATTGAAAATGTGAAATATTTTTATATTATCTCTATATAAAAATCAATAAAAAACTATATATTCTATTCTTGTCTTGTGTTACCAGCCTGGAATGGATGGGCTAACATTTTAAGAGTACTTCAAAATGAATCACGTTTTTTTAAACTCTCAGCTGATCAGTGTGACAGATAATAATATTCACCCAAAAGGCCCTGATTATCCATGGGGAGAGTAAAACTGAAAGTGCCTAATACAGAGTTTGCAGCAGATCATAAAACTTAGTCCTGTTTCGGGTGTCTGGTTGGAAATGGGGAGATGGACCATAAGCAAACGGAATATGGCAAAACTCAAAGATGAGCTGCTCTGTCATGAGGGGATGGCTCCTACAGTAGGTTAAGGAATCCATCTTCCTTCTACTGAAGTCTCAAAACATGCCTCCAGATGAGACTTTGACACATTCCCAAATTATGCCCTTAATTCAAGGAGAGGGAAGATTTCTGTTCTTAAACTTTTAACTAAAAGGCCTTAATCCTAGATTCAAGTAAACAGTTCTTTTTAAGAAAACCATTAAAGCATGTGTTAACTTAAAGTTATACTTAAGAGTCACTAAAATGAAGAAGGAGCATCCTGTCTTCACTGGGAAAAAAACCCGAAAACATCTTTGTGGTGCCCAAATTATTTGTCATATACTTACTCTCTTTCTGGACATCAGCGAGTGCTGCATGAAGTTCCTCTTTAAACACCATTGCTTCCTTGGCAATTTTTTCCCCTTTGTCCAACAGATTGCAAGTGGCTTCTTCGACCGAAGCTAGCAAGACACGAGCTCTTTTGGAACGGCCCTTTTTCTTACTGGAAGGATTCTGTGGGCAGTTCACTAGTGTTGTAACCTACATTTAAAAGAAAAGAGACAATAGTGGTGTAAGTTCTATAGGTGAATTTATATTGTTTTCAATTTAAAAAAAGAAAAAAAAAACACAAACAAATTATTATAGCTGAGAATAAGCAATGAGATTTCCCCTGCTTTAGAGACCGGCAAGCTCAGCATACATACTGAGAACAGGCAAAACTACTGAATCAGATTTGACCACAGCAAAGTCAGTAGAAATCTCACGGTCATATTAACCCTGATTCAAACTCATGATACTGCTTATTTTAAAATTTCCCCATGATAAAATCCCAAAAATACCCTAATGCTACCTAAGGAGACTTCAGCCAAGACAGGAACTATCAGAGCTGAATCTTCTCATACTTTCAGCTTAAACCTCTCAAGTTATCTCAGAAGCAAATACCCAGAATGACTACAGACACACTTCAAAATGCTTTCTCTTCTTACAACTTAGGATTAGTGTTCAGAACTCAGCACTTCGGAATTCTCAGGGGGCTCTCAACATTAAAAATTGTACATCATTTTACCCAGAATGTAGGTTTAGTGCAGCTTCGTCCACATTAAATTTTTTAACACTGCCCTTCAACATCATAAAGAACTTGTTTTTATATAGCATCCCACGCCACATTCCTCATTATCTGAGCACAGCCCCCACACTCAAACAGAATGTTTCTAACAGACTATTCTCTAAGCCATTGCTTGAGCTGTCACACTAAGGAAAGACTTCCGGAAGATTTTACAAGTATTATATAGATATTTTTAAACATACTTCATTTACATTAAGTTCACTGATGTTTTTTAATCTATTGCCAGTATTCAAGAGGCTGAAGGGCAGGCTTTTTTGTCATGGTTATCCTGAGTACCAAATACCTAAGGAACTGTGCAGCAGTTCTTCCAGTGCTATATTCAGTTCCTGTCAGCCTTTATAGACAGTAGTTAAGGAAACAATATCTTGGTTCCTTAAGTATCAAAAGATTTGGTTCACCTTTGGTATTAATATAATAGTATATTAAAGCATCAATCATCAAACATTATTTTTTTCTTTAAAATTTAGTTCAGTGTAACTGCAATACCTAGGCATCTGAAAAAACAAGACATGAACTCAAGTAATCTAATGACAGCAACAGAACCCCCTGCTCACTGTTTCAAATCCAAAGTATTGCCCATACAAATAAATACCAGTTAATCACTTTCAGTTTATATAAAGTAAACCACACTGTTGGTATGGGTAACAGGTGAGAATAAATGCCTTTTAATTCACCTATTTTTCATCAGTGATGCAAGGGACACCGAAATACATGGATGTTTCTACATATTCTGTAAAACTTATCCCTTAGAGCCATAAACTATCCTTAGCCCATATGTATGTATAAAATATAAAGATAGGAAAGTAAGAGGCTTGGCAAAGAAAAGCTCTTGCAAGTATTTCCTTATGTGTATGTGTTGGTAGCAAGGGCCCGGCGGCCGGAAGATATCACGCTGTACGGAAAGATAAGGGCATCTCCTCCCTATAGCTTCTAACGTAAGCAGACGGAAGTTACGTTGTAAATCAAGGCTATATAACGCTGTGTTGCATACTAATAAACGCCATTTTGCCATCCACCACATTGGTGTCAGTGTGCTGATGGCCCGAGTGACCCGGAGTCGGTCGCCGTATCGTTCCTTGAACCAGGTCGTTACGCCTCAATAGGCAACAGTATGTACACACACATAACATATAAAGGGTGTATATACATAAACAGAGAGCTCTTTAGATACAGTACCCAAATAAGTGGCAAAATTACAGCTTATAAATTTGCAATGACTGCAAAGGCAGTTATGAAGCATCTCCTGCGTGAATTAATTAAGCTATATAAAATCTCATCAAGTCATGTCTTTCACAACTTTTACTAATACGTAAATTCAAAAGGAAAAAAGCCTTAGTTTGCTACACAAGCAAATTTATACCTAGCCATAAATGTAATAATTACATAATATAGCAAAAAGATTAAACAGACTTCAGTCTATGAGGATGAAATAATACAAGAGGATATTTTCCATTACATTAACTGCTACAGTTTGTGAGCAAATGTAGCACAAGTATGACAAATATTATACATCAGCTATGTGAATCAAAATGCTTTATGATCTACTGATTGGTTCACACTAATTGCTCCATGATGGACTGCACCTCTGGTAAAAGCCCAGAATTAAGGAAAGATTGTTTGTCTGAGCACATACCAAACTTACACCAAGTCAGATGAATCATGTAAGTTTTGAGAACTATCATTTTTAACGTGCCAGATGCATTAATAGAGAATTTTACCTAAAAGCCTTCCTTTCAAAACTAAAGCACTCAAAGCACCTGGAATCAAATGAAATAAAGACCATCAACAGAGGGAGTCCCTTCTGGTCAGGAGGCAATTGGACAGGAATAAAGAAACAGTGCAGCTAGTAGTACATCCACAGGAGACTCCAAGTCTATGAGGCTGGACACCGAGTTAACACTAACGCAGCTACACCACTTCCAACATGGGAGTTCCTGTCTCTGCAGAGCCCTGTGCAGCACTATTGGAGCGTACCACCCTGGGACAGGCTGCTGTGTGAGAGGCAAAGAGGGAAATGCAGCGAGACTGCTGCCTCTGCAATCCCCCAAACATTGTAATTTAGAGGCACTGCTTTACTTCAGGGATGGAGAAGCTGCCAATCAGAGAGGGCTTTATGCAAAACGATGTGTCATAGTGTTTTCAGTTTCAAAGAGCCAATTGCAGGGAAGAGAAACTAGCAGCATCATTTGCAGGTTGTTGTTGCCTTCATTTTTTCCCATACGATGCTGGTAATGAATGATTATTCTAACACTTAGCATAACTCGCTAGGAGACTTCAGAGAAGCTCAGACATTTCCACTGCCCTCTTTCCTACCAGAGCATTACAAGACTATTCAATAAATAAATTAGAACACAAAATTAGAACACAAAATTAACTCAAAATGAAGTTAAACTGTGTTCAAAGCAGCAGCTGCTAAGTGAATCAGGGCAGAGCATAACACAATTTATTTTATCTGTGACTGGTCCGATTCTCTTTCTAATCATAGATCAGTTTTCGTTTGCTGTCTTTCCAGCATCTCAAGCACCCTTCATTCAGTATTAGTTTTAATATCTGCTTTTGCATTTTCAATACTTTTTGTCTCTTCCCTCTCAAAATGCATGTTTCCCTTCCATGTTTCTGTTATGAAACAAACAAAGCATTAAGGCTGAAAGAGGGAAAAGACAGACAAAACTGTACTCGCTTTGAACCAAAGCATTTCCATTTTTAACAGATAAGGTTTTTTTAAAATGCTTTTTTAAAGCTCAGGAGAGCTTTAAAAAAAATTATAACTACAGAGTTTCTTTGTTTTATCATGGTTCTTTGATCCTGCAAAACCCAGGCCTAAATTTACATTTCTATCTCCTCTAAAAATACCCACAGTGCTGTAACTGAGCACAGTCTGACCTACTGGTACACAAGAGAAGGTTTTAAAATGCAGTCTGTCAAGACATCTATTCCTACTGCTCTTAAACTAATTTTATAATCCATCCACATATGATACTCAAGCGTGACGACTTCCCACAAACCAGTGAACTGTTAACAGAGGTTTTATACACTGTCAGTCACATCCAAGCAAAAATAAATACAGACAGACAAAATGAGTGAGAGGCAGCTCAGTTAATAACAGCTGGAAATGAAGTAACGATATAAAGAACAGGTTACTCTCTGAATAAAAGAATCTTCCAGAAGGAAGAAATGAGTAAGGGAAGAAAAGAAAATCAAATTATAAATAAGAGAAGAAATTTCAAAGATAGTAATGAAAAATGAATAAAAGAAACCAGATGAACTAGGGAGAGGCCAAAATTTCAAACAGGAACAGTACAGCTTCATTTGTTAGAGAAAAGAAAGATGTCATCAGAGCAGCGTGTGAAAAGAAGTTCATTCCTAGAATAATAGAATTTACCATATGAAGTTAAGTGGCAAAGTGCAGACAAATGCAACCTGTGAGTTGCAAAAGAAGAAATACTTCTTCCTTTAATAGCTGGGCAAGTACAATAATATTTGTTTCAGTCTTAACTAAAACAATTTTCTATTTTTAAAAAAAGAGATAAAAGTTGCAAATTGAAAATAACAGAAGACTTGGTAGGTACATGCTTAACTTTTTTTTATAAGGATGCCCCTAACTCTTACATGTATATATTTAAAAAATAAGAGCCAGAGTACAGTATTCAATCCAGCTTTGGTGTATTTGCAAACGGTCACCGTCCCAGTATCAGTTTTGTTTGTTGACTTTTAACATAACCTATTTAATAAAAAGTTATTGTCTTATAAGAGGCATTACTCATTACTTAACCAACCAACCACTGAGACTACTTCATAGCCATTATATCTGACCATCTTTCACAGCATCAAAACCAACAAATTATTCTTCATAAAATAGCAAGCAAAAGAAAATTCTAAATAAAGTCACACCTTTCTGTACCTACACAAACTTCAGCGAGAGCAATAACTGCCAGGTAAACATACCCTCAGGCACCAGGAAAAGAATAAGAAATAAGCAGTGTACAGCAGTTACAACTAGCTCTATCATCTTGGCAAGGTTGAAGGACAACGAGAAGCTGGCATCCTCGTGCTATGTGTAACCGAGTAATTAAATGCAGGTACCCCAACATCTTTGTTCTTCAGTTGGAAGGGAAAGTACTACAAGTTTAGACAACATGCAGCAATTGCACTGTTGTTAGGGCATCCCTTCTAAAATGCAACAGAAGGCAACTCTTCTCAAAATTCAGATAAAGAAACTTACCTACAGATTTCAAGTCTCTTCTTTTCCACTCTGTCCACTACTTAGAATATAAAACTTTTCAAGAGTTGGAATCTATTGGCAGTGTATTCTACACTAAAACATCTGCTAGATAATACTGCACAAAAGATCAGCTAGAACTTGCAATACTTGCTGTGATATACTGTGTGGCATTTGCAAAAATGGAAGTGACTAAATTACCAAACCTGGAAGAAGATAAATTCCCCTGGACAGTTTCTGAGACAGAGCAAACCCCAAGTACAGACCAGCTGTGGGTAAGCCTTTCAGAATAGTGCCCTTAGTTGGTCAGTCTTACTTCCTTCCCTCTGTGGTTATCCAATTTATTTTCTGCAATACCACAATACCTGAATTATCAATGGCTCCAATAATTTCTCCACTGTAAACGTCTGGATCTGCAGATCCCGAGGATCAATTTTCAGTTTAATGCTTGGCATTTTTGTTGACATTTCTCCTATGTATAAAACACAAAAATTGCAATAAGTAATTATTGGCCACGACCACAAATCTCATTCCCATCCGTCATAGCCCAGAGACTGCCTATGGGAGTACGGACTTGGTTTCATAACAGGCTTAAGATTTCAAGAGATTTTTTTTCCAATTCCTCATTTCTAAATTGTCAAAAAAAATGCAGATATCTCCATAAATAGATTTAAAGCATATATAATTCCTTGACTTCTCTTCCAGATTTCTAAATTGACCATATATTACGAAATACACAAGGATAATTGCATTAGAAGACTTTTGACTGCAAGTTTTCTAGTAGTCAACAAAAAGGAGCTTTAAAGCAAAAAAAGAAAAATTACATTATTGAATTTATCACAAGACAAAAAGCATTAATGCTATGCTATGTCTTTATCTTGTTGCATGTGCCAGATTACAGCGATCATAATAAACACTTTAAGTAAAGCAGTCCTTAAAAGTCTCAGCAATTAATAGCAGGAGAAAGTGAAAGATTTAGTTATTTCACACACCGTAATAACAAATATTTTCTAAGTGTCAAGATAGATTAAGTCAAAAAAGCCTATTACCAAAGTCAATAAGATGGAAGTAAAGCTAAGTAAGGTCTTTAAAGTGAATAAATAATTCATTAGGAGTTTGATCCAAAGTCCACTGATGTTAATTTAAGGGTTTTCACCGAGTTCACTGGGCCATGGTTCAGGCCTTTAGCTGCAGTGAAATGTGCATGTGCCAACAAAGAATTATAACCGTGCTTTAGTAGGAATGCAACTGATTATTGTCCCAAAATAAAAGATATTTTAAATTTTCCAGTAACTTAACTTCTCATAAAACATAACTCATCTAAGCCTTTTTAGCCAATAAAGACTTGAAAACAGACAAATAATGGATATCTGTCCTTCTTAAGCAAGACTTATTACAACCATTACTGCTGTATAATAAAGTAATAAGGTACTGCAGTTGTGCAGGCTAAAGATACATTGTCACCTTCTGGTGAACCTAGCATTGATTTAATACAACACAGTAGGTTCAGGGTTTCTGTAGCAAGTTGTGTAGAAATGCATCCAATCTGTTTATCTCACAACAGTTACTCATCATTCACTTGCAAGAAAAGGTAACATGAATTATAATTAAAGAATTAAAGATAAAGGTAATTTAGGGCTTGCCACTCTTAATAAAGGTTATACAAGTGTGAAGCCTATGGTAAAAACTGAATGAAGATAGCACTTCATGCTTCCACTGAGATTTGAAGAACTGACTAGATGATGTTCAGGTTGTTTTTTCTGCAGATCACTCATGTTGTATGTTGCAGTGGCTTCCCCTCAATTCCTTGATAGAAGGGTGTTAGCAACAAGTTTACTCAAAATTCAGCACTTTTGCCGCTTGCAGCAAGAGCTGCTCTCAGCACAACTTTCTGTATTACAGGTCATCCACAATCAGATCTTTTCTAAAATTTGGCAGTTGTAATTAGTCCCTTCTTACTGAGGATCACTGTGCTCTAGAATGCTATCACTGAGCAGCCTCAAACGTGCAAAGCGCACCAATTCCAATCCCATTTTTACAGATCAGAAAAATGTGAATCCATGTGCTGTGACTCAGCCTTTTCTGGGTTTTAGGGGTTTTTTTTAATGTTTTGGGGTGGGGTTTTTTTGTCTTTTTTTTTAACATTAGCATATTGTCTAATAAAAGCATTTTTATTCTTTGCTTGAGTCTTGGCTCAACTGGCTTTTCAACTCAGCAACAGCTTTTTAGCCTTGAGTCAGGCCCATAATTCTCATGAACTGAAAGTCAATTGCAAAATGTATTGTTTCTGAAAGTTTCAGCTATATTCTAAGGTATAAATAACGTACTTAAAGGTTCACTTGCTGATTCTAGTCTTTTTTTTTAAAAAAAAAAAAAGGAAAGAACTAATGCTTCCTGAAACTTCCTTAAAGCAGTCAAAATATGAAAACAAGCTTTCAAGTCAATGCAGTGAAAACTACAAAGTCCTAATGTTCTTTTGATACTCCAACTACATAATTTTAACTTACCACACTCTCTTTGCACTTATTTATTATGGCAGCTATTCGGTATTTAAATAAGATTTTTTAATTACTTTTTTTTAAATCAAGGCAAGGGTAATAGGTAATGGAAAGAAAAATATGCAGTCAGTGAAGATCATTCTGGGGTTTTCTCTGGTATTTCTGCTTAGAAACCTGAACTGTCCTTCCAGATCATTTTCACTAAGAAAACATATTTTGGTGCTGGCCTCAGTAAAAAATGAGAATTGTAGTCCATCTTCTTGTTGTGTTTTGTGTTTGGTTTTTTTTAAATGCATATGCCTACTCCAGTATAATATGCCCTCTAATGACAGCAGGGATCTTGACTGCAAGATATTTTGGTAAAGGGCTGGTATAACCTCACACTCATTTATATTAACCTTTTCAGTAGGCAATTTCAGCACTGTATACCAGCAGCTCTCACAACACTTAGGACGTTAAGCATATGTCACAAGATACAGTTGTGTCTCAGAACAGCCAGAAAAGCAACCACCTGCACACTCCCAGCAAGTGCTACAAACTTTAAGACAATGAGAATTTTGTCTTTCAGCAGACGTGTCCAAACTGAAAGTGCTCATTTTTTTGTTACAGGAAAAAGACGACAGCAGAAAACCAGTCAATGTGAACGTAGCACCTGCAGCTATTAAACAATGTACACTGTATATAGACATAGATAAACTAATTAGTGTCAGAAAGCAGAGCCAAAAATATTCTGCATAAATTAGAGAATGTTAAGTTTCCTGCTAGATCATTAGAAAGCCAACAGCACATCACTCACCTATCCTAGAATACATATGGTCCATATTCAGCACTAAAGCAACTGTCTATGTGATTTCCTTGTGTTAGGAACTTCAGTGCAACTGCTGTGGCTCACTATTTGGCTTCTGAGGCATCTGCAAGGGACTGCCTGACAAGCTCTCCAGTGTATTTCAGGATGACTGACAGGGCACAGTGGCCGCTGGACGGGTGGCAGGGGGATGGGCATCCTTAAAGCTACATCCTAGTAAACAAATATGTCAAAAAAATTTAAATTTAAAAAGCTTTTGAGCAATTAGATGACAGGAAGCATGTTGTTAGTGATACTCAGGTGCTTATTCTTGTAACTTTCAGCACCATTACTGTTTTCCCATGCATTCTGATTGAATGCCAGCTTCTGTCTCAAGGCAATGACTCAGCCTCAGACTTTTGAGCTGGACAGCAAAGGGATTCATAAGGATCTCACCCCATAACTCGGCACCAAATTTGTTTTCTTTGTTGTTTTTTCTTTGTTTGTTTCTACTGTATGCTACTCTACACTGACACACAATATATTAGCCTATCAATTTCACAAAATGTACAGCCGTACTGCCTTCCAAAAAACAGGGACGACAAAAAAATATTAAAACAGTCTGGATTAGAATTTTAAATATACACATGGGCAGGACACCTGAGGACTTTCAGAATGTGCAACACTGCTCAGAATACGTAAGAGCATGTTCTATTCTTTGTTCTTAATTAAAAAATTTATTATACAACATCATCAATCCAAAGGATGGAGTGCTGGGATACAACTGTCTCTTCACTAGAGCACCTTACTCGCATTTTAAGGCCAATAAACAGGCTAAGAAGAGTAAAATGTCTCCAAATACAACTACAGATCTAAATAATGTAACCTCATCTTTCATACCCACATCAAAGTTACCCAGGTAATGGCATTTCTTATTCTTAGTAAGGTCAGTTAACACATTCTTCTCCCTTAAACATACTATCACAACTACTGCCTTGGTTGAACGCATGCACTTGCGGCTGGTTGCAACACCACGACTAATTTGAGGAGACATTCCAGCAGAGGTGTGAATCCTACAGTCTGACCAGCTACAGAGCTTTTGGCTTTGTATTAGCATGTCAGACTCTGCTTTTCAACCAATAGCTACCCAAAAATATATGTTGTGGTCCTGAGCTTACAGCTGCAGGCAAGGAAAATCATCTCCACTGAAGTGTAACCATGGAAATTTGTGAACCTGACAATGCTCTCACTAATTAGCAGTAAACTAAATAACTCCACTGATATCAATGAAATTCTAGTGGAGATACACCATTATGTGTGACAGCAGAATCTAAACAATCCTGCTCAGTTTAGAAATGCTTTGCCAATCTTATCTTCATAACACTTCTTCCAGGTATGTTTTTGCACATCCTGGAGTTTTTGGTCTCAGAACTGCAGTTGTGACATTTAAGATATTGAAAAAGCATTTACTTCAGAAAAGATCAAAAAAAGGTGGTGTGGTATTAGATGACAGCATTTCATTCAAAAATAAAAGGTTTTCATCAACATTCTTTGAACCCATTTCAAATTCTTAAAGAAAAAAATACCTTATCACATGAGTCTCTGTGCTATTTTCACTGCATGCACTTTGCGCATGGCACAAGGATCGCCCTCCATTTAAGCGGCACACAGTTCCTCCATGGATGGCTATCCTGCGCTGGTAATGATAGGTTAAGAAGGTCTGGCTCCAAGCCCTCCCTTTTGTTATCAGTTTTAAAGTGTTCCTATCTCTTTTCAGAGCCAGAGACTCTGTTCAAATAAAGTTCAAGTTGACCTTCCACTAAAAATAGGATATTGTTCAACTCAAAAAAAAAAAAGACAACAAAAAAAATTCCATGATGTGATACTAGAAGATTTTTAAAATTTATTTTTGTTAACTACAATCCCCTCGTTTCCCCATTTTGTTATATGCTGAAGGTTATCTATTGCGACATTATACTATACTGTTTTCCTTAGCAAATGTCTCACTCTTACTCAGCTACAATGAGGTTAGAAAAACCATGGTTTTTTCCTTCTCTTTGTAGAGCTGCTACTCTTGCCAACTGATTTTGTTGTTTCATACCCCCGCATTACCCTAGGATGCTTCACCATCATGTACCACTTTATATAAATATTTTCAAACCGATATAAAGCTTCGCATTACTTGTTCCAGTCTGGTGACACAAATATTATCATACTTCTTCCTGTTGTTTACAGACATGCACAAAACAACCCAAAAATAAGGTCAGCACATGTAACTGATATTTCTTAAGTATATATTTATTTTGACATACATATGAAAAGAGAAAAGGTTCTCAGAAACTAAATCACTTTGGATGTTAGCAAGCAGCTAGTTAGCCAGCACCTACAAAACTTTTTAAGGTAACAGCATCCACGTAACATTTTATCATTCCTTTTCCAATATTTCAATGCATTTTTTCATGTTTGGAAAATATGCAAACACATGGCTCAACTTTGGCTACTGACTTCAAGTGAAAAGACTGTGATGACTTAAAATATTCAGAATACTTTAAAAAAACCATGTTTAACATTTCTTTTTCCAGAAAGCTGCTTAAGAAAACCAGCTTTTTAACTAAAACTTTTGAGTTGATTATTTGATTAAGTGACTATAGTTCCATTCATAGCTTCATGTTCTTTCATTAAGTGGAAACATCCCTTCATTCCTCTTCAATCTTACCTTTTGAATCAAGAATCTAGCAAGAGATCCTAGAAACAGCTCTGCAAACAACTCCTCTTGATGCAGCTTGACTCCAGAGGTACTGACACAGCAAGACAGCAAAGCCTGTCATTCCTAGTCTATGAGAAACAAAATAGGAGGGGAAGAGAGTCAAAATGGGGAGGGCAGTACCCATATGGCACATCCTCCTGAACTGTTGCAAAGTTCCTGACTTCACTTACACCCTGCTACTGAAAACACTACTTCAATAAATCCCAAACTCACTCCTAGTCTTGCAAATACAGTTTGCTACATCAGCCAACACTGAAGTCAATGGCAAAGCTTCCTTGGAAATCAAAGAAGTTTTGGTTGAGCATAAGATATGAAAGGGGAAGAAGGAAAGCAAAAGCCATTATTGTATAACCCAGGTCAAATATTGGTGCAATGTACATATCATAAAAGTTCATACAAACCATGCTGTACACGATGATCTTCTTCATTTACCTTCATAAAACACTCAAAATATACTTCCAAATTTGTAAGATTTGTAAAGTTTTACTAATTTGGTATTATAGTAAATTTTGAGTACCCTGAAGTGTAGTATGCACTCATGTAAAAAAAAACCTCTAGAAACTCTGGTCTTAAATCATTCAGTCTGAAAACTTCTATGAGGTCCATGTATCAGGCTGAATTTTCTTTTCGGAAAATTTCACCCACAGCAGCTTGGTTATTTTTAGTTGGTTTAGAAGTAAAAAGGGCGCAGGCAGCCTGAAGGTTGAAGTAATCTGACACCAACTAACATCACTGGAGAGGCTCAACCAGTGGAAAAAAAAAGAAAAAAAAAAGACTTGAAAAATGAGTACATATTGTGACTACTCACAGGTGAGTTAAAGAGAAAAAAAAGAGACTTAGACAGACATAAGGGACAGTACAGAAATAGCTGGAGGAAATAGGAAAGAAAAAAAACACATTTGGGCTCTGTCATGCAATGGCTAACCGATTTCAGTAGCACCTTCTGCACTTAAACCTGCGTAGAAGGAAAAGATTTGAAAGTCAGATTAAAGGCATATACAGGACATTTTATATAAGCCTTTTTTGCCTGCAAAACCATCTAATATTATTCATAGAAGCTAAGCAGACTTTCCTAGATAATAAAAGATTTATTATGTAGAAATGTACTTAGCATTGCAATTTTAAACTTAAAATTTTAATTCATAATTCATTCTTTTTAGAATTTTTTCAAAGTTTAACTTTAAAAGATAATCCTTTATTTGCTCACTTTCCACTCATGAATGTGTGCACAAACAACGGAAGCCAGAGAAGACAGATGCTGGGCTAGAAAGATTTAGTTTTCTGAGCACTATATTAAAACTATGTGATTCAATGCAAGTCTAAATGTTACTAAGTGCAGGCAGTATTTCTCAGCATTTCTCAGCTCTTATTTACTTCATTAATGTTATTTGAAAGTCAAGAAGAAACAAAAATGCAATTCACTTAACTGCAAGATTCAATATAGACAAGTGGAGTTACGTAGATGACCCTTTTTTTAATCATTAGCTCTTCTTAACTACATCACTGCTTGATTTATGAAGCAAATTACTACAGTGGTGAAGAGAGATCCTCCTTATTTTAATAGGTACAGTAAGGAGAGGTGTGGAAAATGCTGATTTTATTTAAAGTTCTTTGTCCTGTCCTCTGCATTATCAAATGAGGAACAGGATTTGGTTGCTTCAGCTAAACAGTGAGCACCATTTTAGATACTGTGGGGCATCCACCACACAAGCCTCCCACAGACTTGAACCATGTATGATAGGGCTGGATTTAGGGATGCTTTACAAGGCCCAAAGCGTCTAAAATGGCTCTAGACACCTATGCTCAGGCATCATTCCCAAGTTGTCTTTATCTTAACAAATCCTTCCATTAATTTGTTGCTATAAAGCTTTTCTGCTCAAACCTGGGTTTGCTAGGTCACCTGTGAAAAAGTGGCAGGCACGCATCATTACAAGTACGCGTTGCAGAATTTGAAGTTACACAGTACCCTCTGCAAATGCCAGCAAATGTCACTGCAGCACCAGTTCTTAAGTACCCCTACACTACTCCACATAGAGTATCTAAAAATGTTAACAGTATGAATTACTGTCAACTACTATATACCACACTTATCCACCTTGGCTGTCATCCAGATTTCCTTAACAGTCTTCTTGTAACCTTGTCCAAGCCTCTTTAACATTTGCTCTCTATTAACTAGTCAACATGGCCTTGAACACTCCTAGGGATGGAGCATCCACAACTTTCCTGGGCAACCTGTGCCAGTGCCTCGCCATCCTCAGGGTAAAGAACTT